TCCTTATAGGACGGATCCAAATATCCTGCAATTTCATGATCCGTGGGATCCACGGTAAAACTAAAAATATCCGGATCCGGATCCGTGGCCTCCGGATATTCAGACTTTGGATATCCAGCCAAAAATCAGGATATCCACGGATATATGGATCGAGATCCAAAATTAATATAAAAATAATTTAAAAATAATAAATATTGTTTAAAAAAATATTAATTAAAAATTGAATGATTTTTTCATAATAAATATAATATATTATAAAATAACTAAAATCAATTTTTCTATATATTTATTTATTTATAAATAGCTTAATATATAAAATATATATGTTTTCAATATATTTAATGCGTTCGGATCCGGACCTTAAAATTTTGCTATCCGGGCCCGGATCCTAGATTTTACTATTCTTATGCGGATCCGGGCCCCCGAATATTCTAGTTTTTGGAGCGGATCTGAACAGATAACGGATCGGATCTCGGATCCCGGATGAGAATTCCACCCCTAGCCGGTAGTGTGTTTTGAGATGTTACACTAAATTACAAAATCAATATTTTATGCAAAAAAAAAAAGACAAACAGATTTTTGATTTAAGATTTGGCGTAAAAATTTGGTGGCAAGGTTTGTAAACAAATAACACCTACATATCTTAACATTTATACCCAAAAAAAGAAAAACACCTAAATATCTCTTCATACTGGTTTCTGATTCAATCGGATATTTAGTTGTTATTTACTTACTAGGGGATGTCCCGGACTACGTCGGATCAATTATTTATAAATTTGGTTGATATTTTAGTTTGAATAAAATTGTGTCATGGTATTGTTTGTGATTTTGTGGATCCAAAATAAATTAATTGTAGCAAGGTATATTTTCTATTCACTTAACTTTGGCTTATTTTTTTTACATCAATGTATGTATCCCAAATGAAGCAAGACATGAATGGAAAATGAGCTGTGAACAGATATTTAGATGAACGTAAAATTAAAACCTACTCGCTTAACTTAAATAAAAAGACATTAGCTTTTCATGTTTATGAGAGGGCTATTGTCCATTCGTTTCCGTGAAACCACAACTTTCATACTTCCAAGAAGACAACATAGATATGTAAAGATTTGATGTTATATATGTCATTATGTCAAGAATATAAGTTCACCGGAAGATATGAAAAGTGAAACAGTTTCAGACAAGATATGTTGTGCCAAAAAAAAAAAAGGAAAAAAATTTAAACTTAGATATACAAACTGAATTGTACTTACATGCGAAGAATTATTTACTTTCTCCTGCTTTTCTCCATGTATAGATCATTAAAATAACGAACATTTTCCTATCAAACCATCAATTTTTAAAGTACTGATGGAATACATTAAATTAATCATAAACTGCATACTAAAGAATCTGATTGTACAGTACACACCTTGGAACACTTTCTTCAATGGATACATGTCACAGAGCCGAATACGCTGAGTTGCTGACGCGGGGTTTATTCCGGTCAGCTTCAGAGGCAAAGTAGATAGAGCAAGGAGCGTCACACTGCGTTGTTATCAACAGATTGAGCAAGACAACATGTTATGGATTGACGTAGCTGCCATATATTAGACTCCCACCTCTCATCTTCTCCTCAAGCTATAGACAACAGTTTGATTGAAGAATAGTCAAAATGAAAAACAATCAATGCATCTAAAGTAATATTCAGTGTATTGATATTGATAAACTGTTCGAAGTCAATACAAAAATGATAAAGCTCTTGAGCTATGACTGAGGAAATGACATTCTGCTATATTTAAATCTCCAAGTCATTCTCAATAGTAGTGGGTGGCTTTGGGTATCCGAAATTTAGATCCGTTTACAGTTTAGAAATTATCGGAACAAATTAATAAACTTCGTATTTCTAATTTGACCCAAAAATTTGTGTTAGTGACCGAACCTTCTTCTGGTTGGCCGAAAGGGTGAAACAACTTCAAAATTACCGGCGAAGCTGGATGTCTTCGGCGATCTTCTTCAACATCTCTCTCGTTCCTCCGACTGAACCTCGACGGTGAGAGATATTCTTATCCGATTCCGATCTCGCTTTTTATTCTCCGTTTGATCTCTTAGGCCATCTCCATCCATGGTTCTTAAAGGTTGTCTCTTAAATTAAAAATTATTAAAACATACACTCTCTCTTCCTTATACTCAACTTTATACATTCTCTTTCATCTTTTTACTCAACTTTTATTAATTTTATATTTCAATACACCCCATATTTTAAAACAAACTCTCCAAAAGTATCTAAAGTATCAACTTTAACATACTCTCTCTTCCTTTTACTCAATTTTTATTAATTTTATATTTAAACACACCCACTATCTCCTTTCTTTACTCAAATTTTATTAATTTTATATTTCAATACACCCCACAAAAACACTTTCTTTCTCCCTTTTATTCAAATTTTAATAATTTTTAATTTAAGAGAACCCTTAAAAACCCCCAAATGGAGATGCTCTTACCATCGCCACCTCGTGTTGCATCTGCGCACGACTACTATCTGATACAAAGG